TTTTTCCATAAGTTTATTGAGAAACAAATAGCAATGCAGAGTGTACTTTAATTCTAGCCTTTGTTTCCAGGCTAGTTTTTTGTCATCAGTGTTAGTTGTCTCCAGTGTGTCCAGTGCTAATCAGGTATCTTTTAATTATTATCTAATTGGTCCAGCAAAGTAGGAAGACTCAACACACTCCTACCTCAGGAAAATACTTCACTTAGTGGGGTAAAATAATCAATGCTCAGTTCCCCTTCCCAGGTGCGTGCAAAGGAGTGACTTGGCAGTGGAACCTTGAACTTAATCCAGACTGAATCCAAGTCCACATCTTATGCACTAGGATGAGTGAGGTTGGTACCTGAGGGTATGTGTTCATGCACTACTCAGATGACACTTGGTTCTTCTTGGGTGCTGATATTGTCAGAAACTTTTTTTAATTGCCCACTCCCTCATTCCCATTAGAACTTAGTATCTATTAAAGCTTACTGGGCCCCGGGATGATGGCTTGGTGGAATAAGCACTTCCCTGACAAGCGCAAGGGCCTGAGTTCAATCCCCAGTTCCACCAAAAAAAAAAGCTTACTTTCTTTCATATTGTGTTACTGACACCTTGCTTACTCTTTTCTTTCAGGAAAGCATGCCTCAGACTCCTCCCTTTTCTGCAATGTTTGACAGCAGTGGTTACAACCGGAACCTCTATCAGTCTACAGAGGACAGCTGTGGAGGGTTGTATTACCATGACAACAACCTTCTCTCCGGCTCTCTGGAAGCACTAATCCAGCATTTGGTACCTAATGTGGATTACTACCCAGATGTACGTGTTCATGTTCCTCTGAAACCCGTTCTTGGGATTGAGCAGAAATTAAATACAATATGCAGGAACCATGCATACTATAGAATTGTATTGGGCCAGTGAGATAGTTCAGAGGACCAAGTGCCTGCTTGGGCAAACGCAGGGACCAGGGTTTGATCCCTAGCACCACGTTGCCCCGCAGGCCCCACCCCTTGGGTGTGCTGAGCCAGCCACCAAGTCTGGGCATGGTGGCACATGCCTATAATCCCAGCTCTGGGGAGCCTGAAAACAGGAGGATTACTATGAGTCTGAGACCCTGTACCAAATACATTGGGAAAAAAAACAAACCAACCAAAAAAAAACTATCAGTGTTGCTAAGAATGTTTCAAATGAGAAATTACATATTGATCATTGAATGTTTGGACATAATATTGAGCCTCATTTTGGTGTAGCCTCGACCTCAGTTTCTTTTTTGGGTTAGGTCCCTTGTGCCGGCAGTCGAATAGCATCTGTGTAGAGTATCTGTAGGGCTGATACATGCATCCATACCTTGGTCCTGCAATAAAAATGCTCGTGAACACTGCATTCTCTCTGAATAGGAGGGTTGATGCATGTTTTTCTAAGTATGCCATTATGCTGATGAAACTGAATGTAGGTAAGGAAATTAAATGGAAGAGACGAGAACATGTTTACACAAGATGCAGTACTTTACAGATGGACACCAGAGGACACGTTTGCTTTGGTCTTACCTTGGCAGCTTACATTTGTATTGACGGCACTTTTGGACCTAGGGAATTCATTATACGTGATCTCCATGTTAAGAGTATTTACAAGAGGACAGAAGAGAGAAAACAGAAATGTAACAGTATTGAGGGTTTGCTCATGGTCTCACCCCTGGCAGCAGCAATGTGACACAGGTTTCCTTTCTGAACAAGTGGGCTTTCCTCTTCTCTTGTGCCACCACTGTCTCTGTAACTGAGTTTGGCAGAGCAGTGAGAGTTACAGAGCAGCTGGTATAGATGGAGATCTTGTGAAAATATCTAGAGACCACATTCATTGGTTTTTGGAAACATAATAATAACCTTGGCAGGCAAAGGATAGCTGCTGCTTGCCACTCTAATTCACCATAGTGTTTCTTACTAAGTTATCTCTCCGTGTGTGATTTGCTACATAGCATTTTCAGATATGTTGCCATACAGGGAAAACTTGCACTCAAAAGTAAAAGGGATTCCTTGTTTAGCCCCGTAAATGTTTATGAGCTACTAAAGGTGCCTGTGGGGAGGGAACTCAACCCATGGAATTTTTCTTTTTATGGGAGTCTGAAACTATTAGACCAATTAAACATACTTCATTACTGAGTTCTGGGGAGACAATATGGTTAAAGAAACGTATATAGTGTTATGTTGTGCTTTATCAAGTGGCTTAGCCCTTGAGCAAGTAAATAAGTTACTTGAAAGCCTGCCCTTGAATATTCTTGATACAATTCCCCAGGATGCCATACTGGAAACACTGGACAACTCTCGAGCTGAATGTGGGTAGGGTGAGCGAGGTTTTCAGTTTTTGGTTGGGTCCTCACTGAGTTGCCATAATATCTGGACACAAAACCAGACTCTGTATTGGGTAGAATATCTAAGTTAGATTTCTCTCTCTGGGCTGCCTTTCATTCTTCCTTGCTAACATGAATTAGGTGTCCTGGTATCTTGGCTCCTTGAGGACAGGTATGAAAACATTCTCTGAATGACTTCAGGAGCTAACCTCATCCCATGTTTGATGTGGTTTAAGGGAACAATATCTCTGAAAGTGTGTATTACTTTTCAAGCTGCAGGATGTTAATTTTGATCAGGAAAACATGAAATAAGCTGTCTAGTACAAGGAAAGATATCAAATTCAGAGAGAATGTAACAGTGATGCCCTGTTTTTGTCTTGTGACAGAGAACATACATATTTACCTTCCTCCTGAGTTCGCGGTTATTTATGCATCCCTATGAACTAATGGGCAAAGTTTGCCACTTATGTGTGGAACACCAGAGGCTCAGTGATCCTGATGGTGATAAGGTAATGAATGTGGCATTTTGAACTTGATCGTTGTTTGGTTAGGTATATTGCCTGAGTGGCTTAGATTTTGTGGGGTTGGGTTTCCTAAGCAATCCTAACTTATGCCCAGGCTGACATGTCTCACTTCCCTCATGGCTGTGAGTAGGGAACTGGGAGTAGTAGGCAGAGCACACTGTAAGTCAAATGTCTTGGAGGAGCCTAGCTCTCGCTATAAATTGGTTGTACAGTGTATCGCCAAGGGCTGGGGGCCAATAGCTTCTTCTTCAATCCCAAAGACTTTGCCCTAAAAGTTAAGAGTGACACAGTAGTTATTTGTTTGGTATAGTCCCTGGTGACAGATATCACCCAGTTAAATTTGTTTTTATTCTTCTCTGTAGAACCAGATGAGAAAAATTGCACCTAAAATTCTCCAACTCTTGACAGAATGGACCGAAACATTTCCTTATGACTTTCGGGATGAAAGAATGATGAGAAACTTAAAAGACCTGGCTCACAGAATAGCCAGTGGCGAGGAGGTTGGTAACCTGAATTGATCACAGCCCCTGAATTCTTAGACATCAGCTGGGTGGGTAATGGTACCGACTTAACCAACCATCAGAATCTCGGTGCTTCAATTCTGTTTGGCCTTTGGCACGCCCTCTAGGCACACTGGTCTTTTGGGTATGTCAGGTGGTGGTAATTATTCCATGCCACTTCGAAGGAAGATGATCTAGAGTGTTATTTGATTAATTGAGGGGAATGTTCATGTCAACTCATGCACAGAGCTCATGTTGCAAGTGTGTGTTGTTTTTACTTTACTTTTATCTGTCTGCCTTTCCAAAAGCTTTCGACATAGCTAGTGAGATAATAAGTATCATATTAATAAGCACTAAGAGATTTAAAGTAAACAAATCAATATGAATCACTGAGAAGCACATTAATAGATCATAAGTAGAAATAGTCTGTACCATGGCAGGGGAAAAACCAATATGTGAGGGTGAATAAACAGTACAGTTGGCAAACATTATTGTAGTTTGAGTTTAAGTTCCAGTAAAAAGGAAATACAGTTGGTCATATAATATTTTTAGGGGATGGAAGCATGGTTTAATGCATGAAATGAATTTAAGAAGTTAGGGCTGAGGATGTAGCTCTGGTACAGCAGGTGTCTTGTGTGTGCATGGCCCTGACTTCAGTCCCCCACTCTACAAAATTAATAAAAGAAAAAAATTCTTTTCTTTTCCCAGAACCAGGGATTGAACTCAGGCCCTTGCACTTGCCAGGGAAGCCCTTATTGTACTGAGCCACCGCCCTGGCCCCTGAAAAAAATTCATATAAGGGATTTTTATATAGGAGACATAGAGTGAGGTTTTTAATTTTTTTAAAATAGGGTTTACAACTAACACTCCTTGATAAAACAAACCATAGACTAATGTGTAAATTAACAGATGTAATTCTTTGGCAGAGAAGAGGAAAAACAAGCCAGGTCTTCTAATGCCGGAAGCTGATTCAAGGCTAGGGCCTTGAATAGGTAGAGATTGGAAGTAAGTCTCTGAGGTAATTTTCCATAAATACCACTTCCCTCACTTGAGCTTTTGATAAGAACTAAATCGCTGTGACAGATGCAGGGTTATCCTCTTTGAAGCAGGCCTGGAGGGCTTGTATTCCGTGTTACAGCTTGCTGGGCAAGGATGCCTTTGTAGTTTCTGTGTTGCTGGTAAGTTTCTGAGAACAAGTTCCTCCAGCACAGGTAGAATACTGCCACACAGGAGCATGTCGGTGAAACACTAAGCAGTGGCAGTGATGTCTCGTTTCATTTGTCTGGAAATGCATTTTGCTCTTGTGCATGACCTTCCTGGAGAGCTCACTCTGTGTTCGCTGGATCGAATGCATAACAAGACACTGATCCAATTCTTACAAATGTGGGACTTTTTGTTTTGTTTTTGTACTGAGAATTGAACTCAGGACCTTGCACTTGCCACCTTCTGTGCTATGTCCCCAGCCCTACAAATGCATTTTAATGTCATTCCTCTAATTTAAAAAGAAACAAGACCTAAATTCTCTCTCTCTCTTTTTTTTTGACGGAACCGGGGATTGAACTCAGGTTCTTGTGCCTCCAGGGAAGAACTTAATCCACTGAGCCATTTCCCCGGCCCCCAGACCAAAATTCGATAAGCAGAGTACTTGAAAACTTTGTGCTTAACACTTCTGGCTTATGTTCCACTCAGGAAGCTGGAGCTAACCCTTCTGCTGTCCCTTTAGGGCGCTACACTGAGCCCAGGTGCTCCAGACAGCCACCCCTTCGGCAGGGCTGAGTGAGTCACTTCCTGAGTCGTTTTGCAAGATGTGACAGTTATAATCACTTTGCCAGCTTTGCAGGCTTCAGATTCTGCCAGGTTCGAAGTGATAGATCCCTCGCTCACGCAGGCAAAAGCGAAGCAGAGCCAGGGTAGTGTGGTAGTAAATCTCTTGTCAGAGGGATTAGCTGTGGGTCTGCTTGGCAGAGTCTGTGCTGGCTCAGTGACCTTGCTTTATGACAAGCTGCTCAAAAGATGAGTGGGAGCATAGGGTCTTTCCTTATAGGAAGGCCAAGGCCTAAGTCAGTCAGTTCTTCCTTTCATTTAGGTTGTATTAACTTTATCTATTAGCATATCTTCCTTCTATTGCCTCTGTGTGTGTGTGTGTGTGTGTGTGTGTGTGTGTGAGTGAGGACTCAACCTAGAGCCTTCACACTGAGCCACATTCACAGCCCTTTAAGTTTTTTGGCTTTTTTTATTTGTTTGTTTGTTTGTTTGTTTTTGTTTTTGAAAGGCAGAATCTCACCAAGTTACCCAGGGTGGGTTTGAACTTGTGATTCTCTTGCCTGAGACTCCTTGAGTGGTGAGATTACAGATGTGTGCCACCATGCCTGACTTCTATAGATCCTTTTTTTTTTTCCTCCTGTACTTAGTACAGGGTGTACAAGATCTCACTATGTAGATGAGTTGCGTAGTGATTCTCCTGTTTTCAGCCTCCAAAGTGCTGGGATTATAGGCATGTGCCACCATGCCCAGGCTCAATCATGGTCTCAGTGTGCCCCATGGTTGGGGCTGGCATGGCACACAGGGCATTGAACCCGTGTCCTTGTGCTCTGCCTATGCAGACGCTTTAGTCTGCTGAGCTATCAGGCTGACCCTGTAGACTTCTTAAAAAGTAGAAATTATATATAATTCCTCCCAAAAGGACCACCTTAAAAACCATTTTAAGATAAAATGTCAGTGGTCTGAAAATGCCTAGTGGATGACTTTTGTTCTTTTGTCATGGGAATGAAAGAGAAGCATAATTTCTGTGGCCAGAGGACATTGGTGTAAATTTTAAACCAAGACCCAGCCACTCAGGAGTTGGGTAGGACTGAAAGAATGGCCCAGCCTGCCTTCTTCTCATGGCTTTTTGCCATACTCTTGTGTTCAGGACATAAGCCTCTGGGCAGCTGGCTGCCTTTGATCATGAGAAGAAGAGAGGAGACAATCCGCTGAGTCTGATTAAGGAGTAGATGACTGAGCTGGGAGTTGGTAAAGCGACCAGCAGCCTTGATGACCTGGGCTGCACAAGAATTTGCCTTTTCTTTGGCTGCTCAAGAAGTTGCCTTTTCTTTGGCTGCCTTCATCCAGTATTCAGAAATGAGGTCCACACTGAGCAGCTGGTTGATTGGAGGGTGCTTTGGCGAGTCCCCTAAGTTCTGCTTCTTTTTCATCTCTATAAATCATGGCATTAACTGCCCTGTGCTAATGACCCTTCTAGCCCTAGAACTGTGTAGCGGGTGCCCTTTCCCCGCTTCCCCACATGCCAGGCTCCTTAGCTGTCACAGGTGCCTCTCCTCTGAGACACCTTGCCCTGCCACGGAGCACTGAGCACACCCTTCCTTTCTCAACCTCTACCAACCTTTAGAGTACTTCATAGCACTCTGTGATTCCTAGTTACTTGGCTGTTTCACCCCTCTCCATGCTGTGCCCTCTGCTCCCTGAATCTTTAATTCCTGAGCACCTGACATCTTAATAGGCTCTCAGTAGTGTTTGAATGAATGAATGAATGAATGAATGAATGAATGAATGAATGAGTGAATGGACAAAGCAGCTACTACAGTAGGACAACATTCTTCCCTTCCACTGGAAGGAGCATGGGTTTAAGTTGCAACTTGTTGCTTCTTGCGTCTGGCTTCAGGGGAGTTTCTGGCAGCTAGTGAAGCCAGGTGTGCCCTGGAGAATTCATAGTCAGGCTCTTCAGAATCTGCCAGGAGAGTTCCACATAATTTGGCTTAATATGTTTCTCCCCTGGGGATTTGCCCAAAATGAAGTGGTTTATTAGAACTTGCCCTCAAGAAACATGAAATGAAACTAATGATTGAATTACATGACAAATGACTACAGTGGGTAGAAGGCAATTTTCTCTTCCTTAAGGGGCTGGTCTTTATAGTATGAACTTTTATCTTTATTTGCCAGGTAATTACTGTCTGGCATTTGAAGTTATAAAAAAGAATAAGTACATATTTAGCAATTTATGACTCAGTGAGAGAGCATGCTTAACAACACAGAGTTGGAGTGCTCAAGTGGAATCAAATGGAAGCAGGAAAGTTGTGAAAGAGGTCGCATGCATATTCCCCCTGCTCGTTCTCTCTCTCTCTCTCTCTCTCTCTCTCTCTCTCTCTCTCTCTCTCACACACAAATTGATCACATAGCTTTTCTCTCATACCTGATTGTGTGCATTTCCCCCTCATATATTGCTTGCTTTTACTCACCAGTAATCTGACTGTATAATTCTTCTACCTCTTTGCTAAGAAAACTTTTAAAAGCAGAATAAAATTCATTCACCAAATGTGCTAGTAGAACACTGGTTCTCACGTGTTTCTGTGTGCTCACGTCACCTGAGGAGCATTTGTATCATGCCTGCCAGCTCAGTGGGCTTTCTGAGGTGGCGCCAGGCTGTGGCCTGTCCCCAGCCAACTGTTTCTTGTATTCATTGGTCCTGAGCTGGTTCTCTCACGTGGTCCCCTAAAGACAAGTGGCCATTTCTGACTCAGTGTTTTCTGGGAGGCTCCTGGGAGTGGGGCTGGGGAGTGACTTAGGCTTAAGAACTCACATGGCAGAGCTGCAGGTATTGTTAAAGAGGGTTTTTTGTGTGTTTGTGTGAGCAAAGAGAACTTTTGTTGTATATCTCTCCTATTATCCAAGAAATCCCACTTCAAATTTTTGTTTTTTTTTTTA